CATAAAGGATTTTATTTACTGTTTGGTCTATAACTAACAACATAATTAACAACTAATTTAAAACTTACTTTGTCAATTTCATTTTTTCATTTACATACAACGATGGTACACCAGTCTGATATTAAATGTAATATTTAAAAGAAAAATCAGTATTTAAGAGGTGCCAAATTGAATGTTGGAGAAAACTGTTTTTTTTTTAAACTACCAAAGTTTGATTACCTCTCTACTTAATACTCCATTTACAACTGATACATAGAGAGAGGATCATTACACTACTGTTAAACAGATTCTACTGTTTGCTGTAAAAATTCTTAAGGGTACTAAGAATAAGTATTATTTGAAAAAACTTGAAAATTTTTTAGACAATGGCAGTTGTAAACGAGCATACGGATCACGTGATTTTAAGTTACAACTGCCGCGCACAGGCACCTGCAAGTCAAGAGACACAATCCTTTGAATAAATCCCCCCCCCCCCGTCCCTCCCCTTATTAGAATTAGGCCAAGGAAAGAGGTCGCATAGTCGTCGCGAGGTTCGGGCACTGCTGTGCCCGCTCCTTTAAGTAGTGAGAGCAGCGTCCTCGTGCCAGCCGAGTGCAGTGTACGTAATTGTGACACACAGATGAAGGAAGGTGTACACGTCGTAGTTATTTACTGAAGCACCCGGCCCATGAGTACTTGTATTAGATTCTAGGGCAAGTTGCCATTTCGCTACCATAACCAGCCCTCCAAGAAATGTCTAACTGCCACAGTTGTAACTTGTCCTTTAAAATATAAACCTTGCTGAAACTACCAGTTATACCTACATTTTTAACCGTTAGTAAATAACTTGACAATAAACTCAATATTCTATTACACTTGTGGGAGATGTGTAAAGTTATTATTATTTTAAACAAAAATGAATTCCTTTGTTTTCCTAAGCTATGATAATTGAAGCCTATAGGAATTATAAGAAACTAAAAGCATTTTTTATTAATTTATAGTATTGATTAAAAACTCGCCTAAAAAACTCAAACCAACCAAATGCAAAACATTCAGAAGTTTATAAAACGTAAATTTGGAATAAACAACCACATGGAAAAACTTTATCTTAAACTATTTAGTTACGCCAAAACTGCTACTGGTTTGTTTCAACCATAAAACCAAAATGCCGCTCAAACTTTCGAGTAAAATCTGTTGGAACGTCAATTAAATTATTAAAAATAACATATTGGTACGCTCGGCTGTCACGGAAATTGCATGATTTCATGAACTCCAGGTTCATCAGGGTTGTAGATTTACATTATATGGGAAAGTATATGATATGGTACAGCGTTATTCGTATTATAATGTTCTAGTTCTGGCAAACTTTGAACATAGAGTTAAATGTTCTTGAAGTATACTGTAACATTTCCCTGATGCTGGAATTAAAAAAAAAAACAAAATTTGTCAGTTACAAGTAACTTGAAAAGTCTTAAGTAACAAAATCTGGCGTCGCCCGCAGACTTAGTAACGTATGCATTAACTTATAATATATTTAATACTGTTTAATCGTTTTTGGGCAATGTTAAGTGTGCAGACTCTAACATGTTAAAGAAGTCGACCCCATGACTTTCCTGAACCGACGAGGTCGTATCACCATATATTATAGCGCGACCATAAAAAGCTTATGTACAGGCCTACCACTTTCACTTTTCCTTTTAAGTACATTGATTAACTTTTCAACACGAAAACTAGTGCTATATTTTAAATATGATGTGCACCTTTGACGACTGGATGGCGTAGTGGTTTGTGTAACGGACTGCTATTCCAAAGGTCGCGGGTTCGATTCCCACTCAAGTCAAGCATTTGTGTGAATGAACATTTGATGTTTGATTTGGTCTGGGTGTTTATATGTATAATATGTATGTATTTACAAAAAAAAGTATATATGTATTTATATCAGTTGTCTAGTACCCATAGTACAAGCTCTGCTTAGTTTGGGACTAGATGGCGTTGTGTGTATGTGGTAGAATATATTATATTAGAATATATTATATTATATTACCTAATATTGATTTTCATTAATGTAATTTGTTGCTTTAAACTGTAAACTCACACCATCAAAATAACAACACATACAAATAGGTATGTGTATTATTATAAGAATGCCGCTATTTAAGTTAAGAACGATAAAAGCAATCCCCTGAAAACTATAACATACGAAAAACCCAAGTGTCGCAAAATGCAAAAATGTTTTTCTGTTTTGAAAAAATATATATTTAACCTTATAGAAACTGTAGTAATATAACAAATCTTTATTTCTTTAATGAATAATAGCTTAACAATGTATGGCTTGCAATAAAATTTAAACATGTTTTACAGGCCAATAAAATTTGAGTGTTTCAAATGATTTCTGTGTGATCCCATGTCTCATGTCCCTCGGAATATAGCCTTTCGATTATAAAAAGAATTTTGGAAATCAGCCTAAAATTAATTAAAAATTAAAATTGCTTAACAAACATACTAAAGGAAATTAAAACATGTAGTCGAAATGAGACCTTCCTTTTTTTGAAGTCTTAATAAGTAGATTGTTTGTACTTTACTCAACTTAGATCGGTGCCTGCGTGCCCCCAGATTTTATAGATTAGTTGTTCACGCACTAATAATTTTATACGTTTTACATAATTTACGAAACGTAGATTAGTTTTGTTAACAATAATAGTACAATTTCTTGACGTTCGTAAACGTGAAATAGCATAAATCTTGATAACTTGGACTTAAGCTATTATGTTACGAATGCTACTGAATTATTAAGGCTGTCACTTACTAGGAGCATTTGCCTGTAATGTAATAATTCAGGTTCGAGCAAGAAAAACTGTCTGTAATATACAACCTATAATGATATAACTTGGATCAACTTGGAAATAAAATTGTAATATTTTCTTACGTTTACCCTGAATAGTTTTTTTTGTACTATTTTCTATACATTTTTAAAGTTTTGAAATATTACAGCCGTAGGAGAGCCATACTTTGGCTTGTTTTGGGTTGCCTTTTACCAAGTGAGTGAGATGATCGGAGCTAAACCCCCCTAATTCTAGGCGAGAGCACTCAATGGGCCACACCGAATTTGTAACTCTTGAGTGGCAGTTCGGTGTCACTAGTGGCTTAACATCAGCAGTGCTATTTTCTAAGGAACTTTCCTTGCGTACGCCACAGCGTCTAACTTCAAACAGACTTGGTTTGAAATTCGACGCTGTGATAGCTCTGTAGCGTCGAATTTTAAACGAACGACCAATAAGCACTGTAGGTGATCAGTCTAATCGTTTATCCGTATACCATAATAGAACTAGCGTGCATTGCTAATTTAGCTGAAATTTCTTTTTATACGTTTTCTGCCTGAATATCTATACAATCACCTAAGCAATATGGATACTTGCTTATTAGGAAGTCTCAATCTCAAAATATAAACACCTACAGGTGTTTATATTAAATGTTTATTAAATTTTGAAAGGCTCCATATGAATTGTGTAATGTTACAAAAAGGTGCTACTGACCAGTTGCCTTGCCTTGCCTTAAACTTGGGTTGATACGATCCCGCGCTTCAAGCTTCGTTTTCTTTTTTTGTAATAACCTAATCAATAGCAGCGCAGTTAGCAATCTGATCATTTCTACTGACTTTATAAAAATAGCTACTTCGACTGCAGGTAATTGTTAAAAATGAGAGCATATATCAGAGATCAGATCAGTAAGACAGTGTTGTAATGCAACATTCAACCCCGAACCTTGGATTACACTACTGGCAAATACTCCCGGTGAGTGTCTGTCTTTAGCTTCAATGAAATAGAGAGCTACGTGATTTTAATATATAGTGAGTTATTATTTAATGTTGTGGATTTTACGTTACACAGCGTACTATCTATATTTTAATTGCATCAGTAACCAATGAGACTCTATACAGGGGGACATCCGTGAGGTTTAGAACTCTCTGTGCCCGCCAGGCCTGGGAACGGGCCAGGTACCGCAGGAGACTCGAGCGCCGGAGGTCGTTTTGCGTCCTCCATAAGCGCAGGCCTGGGGGTGACAGATGAGGCCATCTGTCACCTTAGCAAAAGCAGGCCCGGTTTGGCGGCCAGACGCGCTGTGGAGCGCACGCACCCTTTCGGTTGCAGAAGGGGAACACCGTGCTTCCCACACACGACAGGGTCATCTACAAGCCGTAGATGGCCTGGGGTCCGTCGGGGTTCCAGGGATTTGTTTCCTAGGGTACACCTGGTTCCCCGGCTACTGATACCCGAGACGGCGTGCGGTTTCTGGTCGGTTCATGTCCGACATAACCACCGGTGGTATCCGAAGGGATTTCCGCAAAGACAAAAAAAAGGCGGACATCCGTGTAGTGACGGATTAAGAATACGAAGTGTCACCACCATTATTCATCGCGTGGGTGTCGTAAGGGCCAAATAAGGGAGCAAACTACCCAGGACAACAGCACTGCAAAGAAAAGGAAAACTAGACATAAACCCTATTCCAAGCCATCTGGCCAGCGTGGTATAGTACGCCAAAACATTCTTTCTAAGGAGAGGCCTATGTCCAGCAGTGATTATAAGAACAATTATTTTAAAGACATGCCTATGGTGAACCCTGTCTTTAAACTAAGATTATTAGATTAGAAGTGACTTAGGAGTCAGTTATCTGCTACTGCTTGTTTACACTATTGTATACGAGGGGGAGAGGCATTAAAAATCAGTAAATTTACAGTATTATTACAGTAAATAATACCACGTCTGCTTTCTGTTTTGCAATAGATATATGTTTTTATCTTACTTTCTATAAAACCCAGTGTCATTTATGATTCGGCAACTAAGAAATAGTAAATTACTTTCTTTAATAATCAATAAAATAGCCCCTTTCTGATAAGTTAAAACGACATTGGGTTTTCCGATGGGCGCTGTACTCGCATAAAGAAAAGATCAGTAAGTACAACAAGTAAGTGATTTGTTTATGAATGTAATAGATTTATTACATTACATAACTATTTATTTTGTTTAACTTTCTTTCTCGTAGATATTATCTCCTCTGTGCCGTATATATGGTATGGCAGTATGACCACCGCCGCCGTTATTGCGCCCGCGCTTCGGTTTATCCTCTACAGAATCATTGGGAGCGTACACTGTAAAATGAAAATAATTACTATTATTTTTCTATGAATTAGTACTTGGGTTTATCGGACGTGGCAACGTAGAATCTCTAGAGCGAGTTTGTGATTGACCAAAACTTGGTTTGAATTACATTAAGTTGGTTATGCTTGGGTTCAATAAACATCATATTCCAAACTAATCATGCATTTTTGAATTCAAATATCCTGTACTAATATTTACTGTAATAAGGTTTACTTTGTAAATATTCAGTATAACGTATCTATCTAACGTTGCATTAAGTAACAAATAATAATATGTATCTTACATGTATTAATAGTAATTACAGTGGTTGAGATTTTATGTGCTATATACTTTGCGACTAATATTATATGCAAAACTTTACGAACAAAAATATTTGAAATGCTCTTGATATCGTACTATTCATATTATTGTTCATTGCTTGTATGTTTTTCAAAATACATATTTTAAAATACTTAAAGTTTCAAAATAGAAATGCAGATCAGGCGATCAACGCCATCTAGTTTCAAAGTAAGCAGAGCTTGTACTATGAAAACTAGATTGATAGAATACTTATAAACTTTTTTTCGTAAATACGGGTACATACATATTGTGCATAGAAATCACCCAAACTCCGAACAAATATTTGCAGATCATACAAACATTTGATCCGACCCGGGCATCGAACCCGAGACCGTAGCCCAGCAATAGCATACGCTAACGCTGCACCGCCGAGGCAGTCAAGTCTGCGGTGTCTTTACGTCCGTCATTTAAATGTTTTTAAAGTTGCAACATCGGGAATCATTCCTAGTTGACCTTTAAAAAAAACCTATACCCCGAAATGTGACCAATAATTTTTTATTTATTAAAAATTAAAAATAAATATTTAAAAAAAAACACCTACTTTCTCTGGATCCTCGCCTCCTTTGAACAGGTTCGTTGACAACGAATCCCTTATAGCGTTTTTGCTTCTGAGGCACTTGGCGATTACGGTTTGTAGATGACGTGGATAACGATAGAATCTTTGATACCCTGCATGTGTATGTAAAAACGTAGTGATGTAAAATATTGAATAATTACAACATAAAGTATTGAACAACTTATTAAAAGTAACTTACAGGTCATTAATGCCGCTACTGCTAAATTTGGCCTTTTGTATCGCATTAGGGGTTAAAAGTACATAGATTTTCGAATAATCTTGAAGATCAGAATTTTTATCCTTTCCATCCCATAGCAAACGGTTAGGTGTCAAACGTTTTTTCACTGGGTATGATTTCTGTTTGGGTTCTACTTTCAAATCATTATTTAAGATTAGACTCAAAATGTTGCCGATATCTTCAGAACGATGAGAATTTTGGCTGTCATACTTTTGTAATCTTACAATGTTAGGCTTTTCTTGAGGATTTTTGTAATTATTACTTATGTTATTAATAAATTTCTTTAACGCATTATTGTCAGAATTGTCTCTTTCTTCGGAGGAGTCAGACTCATCTGATGAATCATGATGATTTAATTGTGTTTTTTGTACGATTTCTAAAAGTTTTTCTACATCTATCTCTTGAACGCTGACAGCATCCGCAATGTTTCTTGAGACAATTGCTGCTGTAACAACTATAAATTATAAAAATAGATTTAATATTGGACTTTTAAAATACTAGAGTTTGCAAAAAATACATACTAACAATTAAATACTTACCCATGAAATATATTACGATCCTTGACATCATCAGCAGCGTCCAATCGAAAGTCTTACGACAAAATATATTCCGACTGTTAGGAAACTATTGAACTATATAAATTTACCATGGCAATTTACGATTTTAATTTTCTCTTATCGCCTTTTGATCCATATGTTTATGAGTTCCATATCACTTACGTAACTGAATGATGTTGAAAAATATTTTCTTAACAAAAAGAAACAAATTATTAAATATTTTGCTCTTGTTTTGTTTCTGTGAAGGTGGGACCAAGATTTTCTCAAAATACGTTATAAGGGTATTATTCTTTTGACTGTACCTTCGTAGTAGATGAATTTTACTCACCAACTTCGCTGAGATAGTAGTGAAAAAGATATTTAAGCAAACTCAACGTCATTTGAAAGCTGAAGACTTGAACTTTAAGATGCCCTGTGTACTTTTTTAGGCATAGTAAAATTTGAAGAGTTACATTACCTCAAAAATTACCAAAAATGGCGTTTTTTGCACTTTTAGGTTAGAATTTCTCAAAAACCTGACGTAATAGAGCAATTAGATTCAGCGCACCAAAATCCTACTAAAAAGTATACTTTGGTTTCGGGTAAAAATTTTGTTGACCTGTGTAATTAGAATAATTGTCAATGTGTTTGACGTCTTTGTTCATTATTATAACCACATTGTCAAATATATTAATATTTAGCATGTAACGATATAAAGACAATCATTGCATGTCACTCAGCATGAATAAGTGTTATACTCCTCTCAGCCAGTACGTAGTTAACAATAAAGAAATCTTGAAATACAGGAAAAGAAATCTGTTTTGTTTAAAACTTGGTACCAAGCGTTATATACCTTCCGAATTAATATTGTGTTCTAAATTTAAACTTTATATGTACAAGGGGATTGCGTTGTGACGTAGGGGTGATTATACTTGTGTTACAGCTTTGTATGCATTGCGTGTTTGTATAATGGGTTTTGGGTAATTTGACCTAACGGTCTTTTGGCATGAACACTTAGCTGCCATTAATTATTCTTACACATCTCGATTCATGGAGTAGAAGGTACAATTTACTCAATTTGATAAACTACAGCAAACTCCTCGATCAGTCGAAATTGCATATATACATATATGGCTTAACTTCACCATTGAGATCCATTTACCTTTACGATTTTCAACAGTCATGCTTTCAGTTCATGTCAATGCTTTCAAAACGCTTCTTCATTGGCTCGCTTACTCATTGGCTTAGTTTTTTTAGAATTAACAAAATTTATTTAATTATGCACTCGAGTGAACATTTTAATCGGTCATGGCATCAATTGTTCGCGCTACATCGTATCAAGCATTGATCTATTGATCTGATACCCACAAAGGCCAAATATTTGTGTGAATTACATATTGTTGTTCTCGTATTTATTATGTCCTCGCGACCCGGTGATACTTTTACAGTACTAGACTGGACCTAAAAGTAGCAAAAAAGAACTCTGACAGTAGCCTGTTCATGAGTTCCAGTACCATGGGTGTTTGCACCATTATATGTATACTCTGACGTATTCTTTACTCTGACGCATTTGACGTTTTCTTTACTTTTCTTCAAACGAATTTAGTGTTCTTGTTCTTCTAACACACATACAACGAGTCTATTTTTAATCATCAAAATCACTAATAATCATTTTAAACTGCCTTTTCTAAAAATTTCTAAAATGGCTATTTTCAAATATATTCCAACGTTACAGGTACCCTGGGCTACTCGAGCTATTTGTAAGTAAAAGCAACATCCCTCTTATTCTTTGCCTTCTCATCTAACCAAGTTTTCCTTTTCTATTAACTCTCAATTTACAAATCTCATTTCTATAGTGCCCAGTTGTCAAGGTGTCGATAATATGCGATTCTTATTATGCCGTATTATACCGGCCTGTAAAAAAATCCAATGATAGATATTAAATTATTTTTACGGGCCGTTTCCAGTTTTCAACTTAAACTGTAGTTGCCACAGTTCACCAATTTGACAATGAAATCTACGAACGTTTCTTTAAAATATTTATGGTACTAAAATTGTTGAAATATAGCTACAAGAAAAAACCTCCTAAGAGATTTTAAAGCTTATCTTAAACTTAGAACTATATTTCTATATTTTAATATTTCCTTTGCCGCTTTAGTGTTAAGTAGGTTAAAGTCTAAATTAAAACACCTATGTCCATCCTCACAAAAAATCTTATAAAAACGAAACAGCATGAACACAAACGTAAAATAAATGTAGCATTCCAAATATTTATTTCCCTTTTAATTTTGTGGATTTTAAATATTTAAAATAACCGTTTAATTGCAGCAAATGATATTTACCCGTATAATAAGTATGTTAAGTCAATGAATGTGTAAGTATGAAATTGTATAATAAATCTTGATAAATGATGATGTCTAAAATTGGGACATAGAGCCTACACGACTCGGTGATTAACGATTTACGAACTACATAAATAGTAGAGTATAACATGCCCGCACTTTTTAAATCGCCAAGTTGTTTTAGTCGCTGGTCCTATTTAGCGAAAGATATAGGTATTGGTATTGGTGGTGGGCTCCGGTTTTCGCATTTAGACTCCAGACTGGTTCTCTATGTTAGTTAGTACTCGTAGTTGTATTATTAATAAATTAGTTAGTTGTAGTATTAATAAATGTTGCTAAACACATATTTGTTTTAACTACTACCTATTTTCAAATTTATTTATTATAACAACACATAGACTTAAGAAATGTTAGAGAAGAGAAATTTCTTAAGTCGTGTTCGTTTTACACTTGCAGAATCATTTTTCTCCCCAGCTATAGAACTCTTGAATAATTTTCTGATGTTCCGGATATTGAAACAAATGTCTAATACTGCGGCTGCTTATAATTTCAACCAAAAATACTGCTTGTATTTCGTAAATTAACTTATTACTTCTACGCACTCAATCGAACACACGAATATATTATACGTCCATTACTGTCGATAAATGTAGATAAAGCCATATTTATGGCTGTGTTTAGTCGAAGCCTCATAATAACACACAAAAAACAAAATGGGATGTCCAAAATGTATCCAGTGTTCCTAAATGAATTTTCAATAATCCTCGTTTATAGCTTTGACAATGAGTAATTGGAAGCGTAAGCGTTTAATGTTCGGTGCATTTTAATATTTAGGATTTTTCGTTGATTTTTATTGCGAAATTAAAAGTTGATACCTTATTGAAAACATTATTGAAAAAACTTCCAGTCGTCAACGATGAAAGTGTTATTGCTATTGACTTCAAAAATTAAGTGGTTTTAGGGCTGTATATATTTTTTATAACTTGTTTAAGTATTTGACATAATAGAGAAAAGAAATAGGGTCAAGATTTCGAATAAAGTTACACTACCAACTCCAATGTGCACATTGTTCCGCAATGTTACACTCCAACCTTTAAAGATAACATCCGACCGGTATTACTGCGAAAACGTATGTAACTTTTTATCTAATAATAATAATATAATCTCATTTGATCAGCCGAAAACATTCCTTATGTTCTACAGTAGTTTTGCTTATTTGCTAATGATACTAATGAAATATAACAAGCATTAAAATTCAGTTAGAGCTCTTAATAATATTTAGAATGGTCTGTGAATACTTAGTACATGTATTATATAACATTCCCTTCTTCATACAAAACTTTATACTCGTAGTAAATTAAACTAACAGGACGAGGAATGCAAAAGAAACCTTTATAAACAAGAATGTACCTATTCATAGCTTAGCTAATAAACCATTAGTATTATTTTTATTCTTTATGAGATTTTTTCAGATTCAAAACTCCTTTGTTGCTACAAAAGAGTTTTAAATCTGAAAAATTGGTTAGTACGCCTACAAGTGGTGAGGAGTTAATTGACAGATGGCTTTCTTTGCATTTATTTAAAAATATAGGCATTTTGCTATTTATTTTAGGCCAATATCCGAGTAAATTACTCAGAGCAGCTGTTAACACAGCCAAGTTTAATGTCATGATCGATCTCATTAACGCTCATCTATATCATGTAATAGAACTCTGGGCTTATTTGATTCAATTTTGTGAAGCGTAGCCCCGTTGGCTCACTTAATTTGTTCGGAAATAGTTTAATCAAGCGTTGCGTTGGGTTTTGCAGTAATTAAAGAAGGCGACATCGGGCCTCAGCCCGTATATTGCTTCCTTAGATTAGCACCGAGCTTCCAGTTAATTTCCTGCGTTCTATTCCGGAGTGCTCTCATCTCGAAACGTTTTTCGAAACCTTCCAAAATGTTACTAAAGTAAAATTAATGAAAATTTACAAAACCTTAACCGAAAGTAAATGGTTTTTATTCCTGATAAGGTAGAGTGAATCCTTCCTTGGCAAGAATTAACCAGCTATTTATTTATTACTCCATAAAACATGAGAATGGAGAAATATTTGTAAAGTGTATTTAAAAAATTTAAGCTGTCTAATGTTTAGAATCTTCCTGTATTAAGTCTATTTATTAAGTAAAAATAAATAGAATGAATATTAGACTAATCTGTTACATGCTCGTGTGAAATACAATTTCATCGTCTATTATATACAACTTGAGCATCTCTTTTCTTTGCCCAGTATTATACCGGCCTGTAAAAAAATCCAATGATAGATATTAAATTATTTTTACGGGCCGTTTCCAGTTTTCAACTTAAACTGTAGTTGACAATGAAATCTACGAACGTTTCTTTAAAATATTTATGGTACTAAAATTGTTGAAATATAGCTACAAGAAAAAACCTCCTAAGAGATTTTAAAGCTTATCTTAAACTTAGAACTATATTTCTATATTTTAATATTTCCTTTGCCGCTTTAGTGTTAAATAGGTTAAAGTCTAAATTCAAGCGTTGCTGAAGGCGAAATCAGATAAGGATAGACAAATAAAAACGGTTGTAACTTATTGGCTAAGGCATTCTCGTCAAACTTACATTTGTTATCATTAACTGTTTGTGTTAGGAATTGCCACTACTAGTAACATGTTCTTTATCTTATATATAAAATTCTCGTGTCACAATGTTCGTTCCCGTACTCCTCCGAAACGGCTTGACCGATTCTCATGAAATTTTGTGTGCACATCGGGTAGGTCTGACAATCGGCCAACATCTATTTTTCATACCCCTAAATGGTAAGGGTGACCCATCCCTAATTTTTTTTTGTTTTGCAATACAACGTTTGGCGGGTCAGCTAGTAAGTTGATAATATTAAATTCAACAGGAAAAACAGAACAAAGCGTAACACCGATACGTGTGTAACATTCACATAAATGTATTTTTATTTGATTACATGAACAATAACCCTATCGGTATTGTGTTATTCTAATAGATATATAATAGCAGTTCCAACAATTTATAATGTTATTACATGATAATACAGAAATGATAGTAATGGATATTTATTTCCACCTCACGTAGTACAATTTTATTGTTACAAACATATGTGTGTTAGATAGTATTGTATAATATGCGCTAATTGGCATTTAATAGTTTACAAGTAAACGATAACAAATATAATCTGTAGCTAAGGCATTTTAATTTTGTTGTATTATTATCTACACGAGCACAAAGCGTCACAAAATCCTGCTAAAGACGTGGCGAGTTGTAAATGACGTCCTAATGACATCTGGGCCTACTTCCCTTTAAATATAATTTTGACATGAATAAACCTTTAAGGCTGCCTCGTTTCTATTCAACCATTTGTCGGTAGTTAAGTAATCGGTGTCGCTGTTTGCCAATAGATACTCATATTTTTGTTGGCGTACATTAACGACAGTTATTATTTTGTATCTCATATTCATGAGACAGTAGCACAGATTAGATAGACTAAACGTATAACGAGTATTTCTTTTACTTTTTTGACTTCAACAGAGCTATATTTTATATTACATAATTATCAACATAATTATCTTTGTTAAAATATATAATACAGTTAGTAGGGAAATGCTCAATATTCAATTCACTGAGAAAATTGATTTTTTTTTCAAATCCTAATATCTTAAACAATATGCTAATTAAATTATTATTAATAAAGGATAGAAAAAATGTATATATATTTATTTAGAAACTCTAAGAACAGAAACAAATACAAAAGTGCTTAACAAGATATAAAATTAGTGTAGCAGATCTTATCAAATAAATTTTTAAAGCGGTACACTA